GGAAGGAAGGAAGGAAGGGAGGATAAAGAGGATCAAAGTCAGAATAAATGATGAACGAGCGTTTGTGTCTGATTGGAGCCAAATAAAAAGTTCACTTCATCTTTGTGTCAAATCGATTATTATATTAGTCGATTAAAAGAAAAAGACTCGACAGCAACTTTGAAAATCAAACATTTATTTATCAGAAAAAGTTTTCTCTGTTTCAAATCATTTCCATCTGAATATTTCACCTTTAGTTTTTCTACACTATAAAAAATGATGCAGTAATAAATAGTAACTTCATCAATTCTCTGAACGGCACTTTAGTGACTGTTTGACTCGGACATACCAAAATAAAAGCCTAGAAATTCAACTTACAATTTATCATTCAGCTTTATTTCACAAAATGAAATTCTATTTGTTAGAAATCCTTAATATGTTTGTTAAATTTGACTCAGAATATCTGAGAATGGATTAATTCTACTGATTAGTTTGAAGAACTACAATAATAAGATTATTATTTCAACTTTAACAACAAAGTGAAAAGCTGTAAGAAAGAAAGAGTCAGTGTCTCAGATCAAACAGCTCAGAGTGTTAGAAGGCTGCTCAGAAGCTCTGAGGTTGTGGGTTCGATCCTTATGAGGCTCAGTGACTTTTGAAGTCCAACAGCCAAAGTGAGAAGATAAAAGCGCCCGGAGAAAAGGTTCAGATGTGAAGGGGACTCGGTGGCGGCGTGGGGTTCGATGGCGACCGCGAGGCGCAGGCAGCGCAGCGGTGGTTCGAATCCCGCGTGCGGCCGGGTACCCGGAGCCGGTCCCGCGGCGTCGGGTTCGGGAGGGGGCCGTGTCCCTCCCGGTGTTCTGGAGAGGTAGAAGCTGGGGGTTATGGAGCGGGAAACAGGAAGTGGCTGAAGTTTTCCTAAAGGTGGAAGATGACTGACCGCACAAGGTCTTTATTGGTCCAGAACAGGTGCTGCTGGGACTCGTGGTGTCAGCTGTCCTCCAGGTGCAGCAGCTGGAAGCGAGTCTTCAGGGCGTGTCCCCAACAGCCTGGAAGAGACAGAAGAAGAAATGAGTCCACAGGTTTGTGACAAGTGAACAGTTTGAAAATCCATCAGTGAGTGAAGCTGCAGACAAGAAACAATAATCCATTCAACAAACAGAGTGTTTCCATGGAGATGATGATGTGAAGCAGCGGTGGAAGAAGCAAAAGCAGCAGCGGCACAGTGTAAAAGTACTGTGTTCGAGTCCCAGTAACAGTATAAGCATCCTTTATATAGCGCTGGCTATCTGAAGCTAACATGATCCATCAACATGTGATAGTTACTGTGTGTTTGTGTTAATAATGTGCAGAGTGAGTAAAAAGTGCAGCATTTGGCCTGAAATGTAGTGGAGTCCAGGTCTAATGAGGTCCAGGTCAGATGTAATGTCAGTAATATCAGTGTGAGCAGTGGATCAGTAGAATCTGAAGCTGATACAGTAGCAAGTGTATTTAGTGTTAGTTCATTTAGTGTGAGCATGTGAAGAAGAAGAAGAAGAAGAAGAATGTGCTGACCTGGTCTGAGGGAAAGGCTGCTGCGGGACTGTAGAAGGAAATCTGTAGAGTGAGGACATGAAATATATTCAGATGGGACATGACGAGGTTTCAGCCAAACTATCATGAGGAGCACCAAGTAGAAAGTGAGTGTGTGTCACCATGAGAAGGTGGAAATGAAGCGTCAGGCCGTTCATCAGTTTCAGCTGCTGGAAGAAACAGAAGAAAACAACATGAGTCATCTTCTCGTTTCTGCTGGATTTAGTTTTGTTATCCGTCTGTCGTGGTGTTGGACTCCAGGTGAAGGTGATGCTCCCTCTCTGCTGCTCTCACTGAAGGGCCCAGGACACTTGTTCTCCCTCTCCTTACTGATGGAGCTGCACAGACAGAAAAGACCCTCCGTCACAAAGGAAGGAATCGATCCCGAGTCCAACATGCCCTCATTCAAATCGACCACCCGGGGGCGCTATAAATGCAAACCAGTTGCAGGTGATAAAATACAAATTGTTTGTCCAATCAACACAAAACTTGTAAGATATTTCTACATAAGCACCTCACACATACACTTTGATGATACACAGGGCAACTTTTTGAGCAATGTTGTTGGGCAATGTTTTGAACGGATAGCGGCGTGCGGGGAGGGTGGCGTAGTGGCGGGAGAAGGGGATTACAGTAGTGATCTGTACTCATTACCATTGACAGCACCATTGCTCTAAAAGTTGCTCCGTGTATCATCAGCTTTACTCTCGTTAAAATTGACCACTAGGAGGCGCTATAAATGCATAATAATTGCATGTAGAATGAAACAAATCAAGCTATAGATCAGAAAATTCTGCACAATGTGTTTTGTAACAATAGTGAACCATGTGTGAGAAAGCAGTTATATTACAATGTTTACTTGTTATGTGGAAGCTCCAGCAGCAGAAGTCACTTTTCTATCAGAGAGAAGGAAAACTGCTGCTGAGTCACTGAGTCTGAGGGTGTGTTAAATATTTGAAAGTAGTACTGGACTCAAGTACACAAGGTATTTGTTCTGAACTTGAGTATTTTCTTTTCATGCCATTTTCTACTTCACCACATCTCAGAGGAAAATATTGTACTTTTTACTTCATCCGACAGCTTCAGTTACTAGTTACTTTAAAAAATACATCAAATGTATGAAGAGTTTAAAAATAGGATGTTTTGATATAAATTAAATTACTTAACAGTTTATACAAGCGCAGCAAGTAGAACTACGTCAGTTTGGCTGTTTGACAGTAAATTTAATTGCCTCCTGTTTTGGTATTAGTAAATGTTCATGTAAAAACATTTCATGGTTCCAGCTTCACAAACGTGAAGGTTTGCTGCTTTTACTTGATTTATTTTAATCATTTTAAGGTTTGGACAACAAAACAAGCATTGTGAAGGTGTCACTCAGGGAACCGTGACAACATTTCTCACTATTTGCAGAATTTATTACAGTCGATTAATGGAGAAAATAATCAGCTGATTAAAATAAAAATAATCATTAACTGCAGTCTGATACAAAATAGTTCAACCTCAACCAGCTACATTAATGCACGAGGAATAATAATCTAATGATATAGTATATAATAGTACAACAGTCATATGGGACAGTTTTCTTTCTGCTTTGAGTAGCTACTTTTATTTTTAATTGGCTGCTTCTACATTTTCCAGCTTACAGCCTACTTACATACCTTTATTTAACTTTTCACTGCAGTATTTTTACAGTGTGTACTTTTATTTCTGTCTTAAAGGATCTGAACAGGCCTGTGTTACTTTGCTCACCACTGGCTAAAAAAGCAAAAAGCTTCTGGTCGCAAAGAGGTTGGAGAGTTTTTGACTGCATCAATAATAATTTAGCATTTCAGCAATTTGTCTGTCCTCCCCAACATCAGCTGCTCTCACTGTCTTTGATCCCAGGCAGGTGATTTCATCCAGGAATGGTCAAATCAGCTTCCATCAGCAGAGTTCTCCTGAGTAACTGTGAGCAGCAGCTACAGCTGATCAGTTAGCATGTTAGCTTTACCTTCCAGCCGTCCAGCTGTCACTCATCACCTACCGGAGCTTTCAACCATCCACATTTCTTCACTGATGAAGTCACATCCTGTTTTTATTCCCACTTTGTTTTTGCCCTCGTGGCGCCTGGAAACGTCCACAGGAAGAAAACAGGTGTTTGCTCAGGTGAATCAACAAACAGGCTACTGCAGACAATAGGTGCGTTCGAGATGACGGCGGCATAACGAGCTGCAGGTGACCGCAGGGGCGGGTATAAAAGCCGTAAAGTCGGACACATTGTACCTGCGTGAGCTCACTGTGAGCTGAGATCAAGGACTGATCTCGCGGCAATTGCAAAGAAAAATGCCGCGAGACCAGCCAAACGTCTGGTTCCAACTTTGTGCAGCCTCAGAAAAGCAACTGCGGCCACCACGTCATGTGACATGGTGACGTATATTTTTCTAAAGCTGGATGTAAAATCTGACAGTTCAACCTTTAGACAGGCTGCATGAGGACATTTAGATTAAAATGTAAAGGTGCCAGGGGAATGTCGTTAAATACGGTTCATAGATTATTATTTATAATGCTTCTGTGTTTATCTTTAGTTAGATTATAGTTTTAGTTCAGTCCCTAGTTTAGATTGTGTCCCTGATTCACATGTTAAGGACTTTGTTTCTGTGCAGGTGTCAGAACATCAAAATATCTGAACAGTGAAACAATCATGATCAAACATTAGACGATGAAACAACATATTTTTACATGTGACTTGCAAGGCCGTTGTGCTGAAAGCATTTTCATTTGTTATTTAACATTTCTTGTTGCTATTTGTTCTGCTATTTTTCAGAACATTGTTAACAAATGCTTTGAAAAAGTGATGATGACTGCAGCCAGCAGACGGCGCTCTGCCTCTGCAGCTTTGTGTTTGCAGAGACAGAACCCAGAGGGAGAGGAGGGCAGCACAGACTGCAGATAGTATCTACATTCAGTTTAAACAAGGATGAATTCATGGGAGATTTTAGATTAAAGATGAGCAGTGTGGGCCCGCACAGAATTCTGGGTCATTTTCAACTCCACACAAAAGAGCAGCTAGCTGGTGAAATGACAGCAACCGGGAAATTAACTCGATATGAACGAACACAGAAGTGGGTTTCAGAAGCGAAAACTGAAAGAAGCAGCCGAGAAAGAAAAGATTCATATAACAAAAATATTAATTTTCCTTAAAAAGACAGACGGGATGGCAGCAACACGAGCTGTTAGCGACAAGAGCCGAAGGGGGCAGCTGCTGCCATAGCAACAGCATCGCACCATCCACCTCAGTGATGATGATGAGGAGTAACGTTACTTTCTATCTTCTACAGCCTGAAACACTGTGCACTCCAACAGATGTTTCTGAGCAAGCAGATGCCGTATTTACAAAAGTGACATAACCTGGACATTTCCCAGCAGCTCCTGTCCTTCCCAGGTGTTTCAGAGACCGCCTCTGAAAAGCTTTGGGGTAGTCTGCACTGTTCTTCTGCTTTTATTAGCAATCCCAGTGAGTGTGGCCTCTGCTGAAAAATCCTTTTCCAAACTAGAACTTCTCAAATGTGAAGAGCTCACTGGGACAGACACGTTACTTTAACAGTCAAACTTGTCCAGGTCCAAGTTAGTTTAATGAATGATGTCATTAGAAGTTGTTATATACAGCTGGGAAATATTGAAAATCTGTGATATAATAATAATAATTCCAGGTCATATTGTCCCCACTGTTTTTTGCATTCTATTAAAATAGTATAAAAAATAAATTTTAACTTGTGTTGTAACGTTTTGTTTACTTGCCGCAGCCTGACAGGAAACAGCAGCTCTTAGATCTTACAGGAGAAAGAGGAAGGTGTAGTAAAGGTTAAATGACAGTTGGTCACAGTAATGCACCACCAAGCAGCTAGTAAATCAATTAATCAAATAAACTTCCACTTGTGGAAATGTTTTATGAGGAGGGAAAAGCATTCAACACATTTGTTAGACCACATACGTTCTGTCTACAGAGGGCACCTTCAAATAAAGTTTAAAGAAATGAAGACTCCCAGAAATCCTCTCTGCCTCCACGACCACACATAAAACATGGTCTAAAAACAATCACACTTAACAAAATCATAAAATTCGGCTTAATAACTGTCAAGATTTGTCTCGTTGACCATCATTAGCTTCAGCTTCAGCTTCATCTCCTCATAGCTTAACTAATTACATGTTGTTTATACTATTTCTTATTCACCACTGGTTCAGTCAGCCAGCCCGTCCAGGGAGAAGTGCTTCCTGAAATACGCCTTGTGATTGGACGGTACTTCAGCAGACAGCCGAGCATCGGCCAAGAGCAGAATGGCCCTGCCTCCCGGCATTTTTACAGATCCTCAGTTAATTTTCAGAGTTTCAAATCTTTTTTCCAACATAAGAGCACATAAAAGTTTTCTGACCACCGTTTACAAGGTTTCAAAGCTGTAAAACAAACTAATACACTGTGAGATTCACCCTTTCAAAGGAAAGTTTCAACATTTTGAAACCTTATTGCCAACATATGTGTGTGATAGACTGATTGATTTTAGACATGTGCTAAATAGGCAATGAAATAATCATAGAAATATACTTATAATATAACTTCAAAATATACATCAAATAAAATCATGTAAAATCCGGTAATGTTCTTCGATAAAAGTATTTTTTAACAAGGGATTTAAAAGAGTTTACAGAGTCGGCCTAATTTCCTCGGGTAGATTGTTCCAGAGCCTCGGTGTCCAAACTGCAAAGGCTCTGTCCCCTCTTGATGTCTTGGTACTTCTATATTTCAGACTTGGGCTTCAGAAATGCTTGGGAAATTTAGCATGTGTGGACGCTAGCTACTCGTTAATAAAGAGTATCGCTAATGAAAAGCTATTTGATTCAGAAATCAAAGACGCTACTTGTACAGACGCTACTGCCAAACACTGATAACTTTCATATTACAAAAATTACTAAGAGTAATTATAATATTAGTAATTAAGAGTCTCAAAAAGTATTTTACCCACCTGTGAATGCCAATATTTCAACACTGTTTATATAAAACACAGAGTTACTGTCCACCACTGGAAATAACCTCATCTTAACACTTCAGAGCTGCCTGTAACTTTCCAGCTTGCCTCTGCAGCCAACAGCTGTTGTTCTCCTTGTCGATGTACCGTAGCACGAGCACCAGCTGACAGTGGGTGGAGATGTCAGCTGTCTCATCTGCCTGAAGAGCAAGATAATCTACAGTTTTTACTTCCTCCAGACTTCAAGAACTGACAGCATGCAGTCCAAAAGTTCTTTTTGCACGGTCTTTGAGGTGCCTTTGAAAACGGTAGCTGTCTTAAGATCATCGTCAGTATCATCAATATATCAATATCAATAACGTCGTCACGTGTCCCTCTAACACCGACTGACTGTCTTGGGCAGATCCTGCAGCGTCCTGCAGGCGTCAGATTTGAGGACGCTGATTGGCTTAATTTCTCTCTCCGGCGCCCCAGAAGAGATCAGTGGATGAGCAGGAACCCAATTTCACACCCAAACATAATATTTAGCCTATATATTACACATTATTGTGTATTTTAAACACACAAATACTTCAAAGTAATTACTGTTTATTTTAAAAAGAAAAATCAAAACACTTTCCACCCATAGACTCATGCATAGACTGTATATAAAAAGTTTCCACCACCACTTTACTTTACAAAGTGTTTTATTAGAGCTGAAAACACAAGAATTCTACAATCTGCACAGTTTCATAAATGGCCAAAAGTATGTGGACACCTGATTTCCAGCACATGTTGAACCTGCTGCAGGGATTTGCTCCCATTCAGACAGCCGGGCCCAGATGTTCAGAAGTGATTGGATTGGATCAAATCTTTAAAATGGGTTGTTCAAAAGAAAAAGATCACCTGATCACCTTTGTTTTGATCTGGATCAAACCTTCAGTATGTGTTTTTAGTTGGTGGGATCCCTTTGATCCAAAATAATTAGGATAATCCTGATCCCAACAGAAGGGTGGATTCAGGGTGGATTTTCAGAACAAATGTAATCAAACTTCAGAATCTGTCAAATAATATAATAACACATAATAAAATTTTCTATCATGTACCAGCTTATACACACATTTATTTATATTTGCACTTGATTTGTTTAAACTTTACAGTAATAGAGTAGACATTACTGTACTGAAAGGCTTAACAGGTAAAAACTAAAAAACTAACTTATTACTGTACGTTAATTACAATGACACCATCATCAAAAGTAGTTTCTGACAATTGTATCCCTTGTTGCAGGTTCAGTCAGTCCCTCATTCTGAAATCCGCCTAAAATGTAAAAACTGGTCTCTTTACAAATAAAGAAGAGCTCTGACATTCTTTATTTTGTTAACAATTGGACATTTAGCCCTTTTATGATACACACACATGCTCAGCTATATACATATAGCTATTTAGATATATAGATATATAGATAGATCGATCGATAAATATATAGAGATATAGATATAGAGATATGACATACAGCAAGCAAAAAAATTTTAAATGTTAAGATAAAACAACCACATTCAAAAACATCAGAAGGATATTAAAGGGGCAGAAGGTACAAGTCAACATCATTTCCATCATTTAATGATCAGAGCTTTTATCTTTAAAGGACCAGAAGTGGACGATGTTAACAATGTAAATGAGGAATCACTTTGATTCATTGATGAATTTATAAGAAGAACCTGAAAGACCTCTGCAACTGTGATCCTGTACGGCTCAACTGATCTGTTCTCCAACAGGAGCAGATTCTCCCTCCTACAGAGACACTGAAGAATAAGGGTTGAACCAGAACCCAAAGCCAGGATAAAGAGGTTCAGTGAATGTGGCGTTGAAGGTGTGGAGGTGGATCAGTGTGTCAGAGGAGACTCTGTAGAAGGACAGAGAGCCAGCAGGCCAGTCCAGATACACTCCTACTCTGTTAGAGACAGAGGAGGTGATGGATGTTCCTCTGTTATTGTGCCAGGCAGAGTAACCATCTGTAGAGCAGTCCAGTCTCCAGGACTTATCATTCCCTCCAAAATAACTGTATTCAGAGCTTCCCCTCTTGCTGATTCCTCTGTAACTCATTGCTACAGTAACTTTTTCTCTCCACTCGACCTCCCAGTAACAGCGACCAGTCAGACCAGTTGTACACATCACCTGAGACCAGTGGTTAAACCCGTATGGATGATCAGGATATGACAGATACTCCCACACATGTGTCGCCTTCCTGTTGTTGTCAGACAGCTTGGTATTTTGATTTGCTGTGTTTATGTCGAGTGTGAGTTCACAGGAATCTGATGGAGAGAACAGCTGCAGTTATTGATCTATCCTCTGTTCACTGATTGTCATCAGATATTTGTTGAATGTTTGCTGTTTTGTTTTCATGAATCACATGAAAAACACACTTACACTTCCTCAGACCTGGTTTCAACCATCGGACTCCAGCAGGCTCCACCCTGAAAGAAGAGGGGGGTCAGACCAGCATCAAACATGGACATTACATTCCTCTCATACACATTTACACATTATGTTCATCTGGCCTGCTTCTCCCTGCTCCCCCTAAACCTCTAAGATAAAAGTTACAAAGACAAAGATTACGGATGAAAGAATGGAACAGCAAACAGGGGTAGCAGGGACTGTCTGTGCCTGCTCTTATTTTCTGGATGTGGATGTCATCAACGTCCACAACAGCTCCAGATATTTACAGAGCTCAATGTTAAACCTTTTTGCAAACGGCCCCACTGGGCCAGTTGGTTTAAAACTTACTGGACCTCCTTCCAAAAGTTATTTATCAGTGTTACAACAAAACCAAAGACTTATAAGTTATGTTCTACAGTTAACATGTTTAATCGGTTATTAAATACATCCTGGAAATAAAAAAACTAAAATATCACAATTAAAATTATAAAAAATAAAAATGTTAATAAAACAATTTACTTTTAAAACAAAACATCCTAACAGACTCAAACATGACGTGCTCTCTCTCCTGCTGACAGACATTTAATAAAAGACATGTACACAGAGCAGCGGACACGAGTCGCCTCTATCCTGTTGCCATGGTAGCGACCTGTCAGTCACAAGGTAGTCCCGCCCAAAAAGCATACGCTGCATTATCGTCTATTTTCCCCTAAACAGCACCATAATTTATTCTATCAACATCATGTTGTGTTGAAGAAGACTTGAAACCAGCGACTGAGACCATAAACTCAATGATCAGATGAGAAGTAGCAACTTTTTATTTCTAATGGAAACGGACTTCTTTTTGCAATCAGTGGACTCGCCCCTGCTGGCCGTTAGAGAGAATGCAGGTTTAAGTTCCCTCTGCATGGTTTCACTTTCAGACCCAGAGGTTGCTGCTTGATTAAGAAGATTAGAGAAATAACATTTGACCACTTTTCACGCAACTACAACGGTGGATTGGATAACGGTGCGCGCCATGAGCTGCAAAACAACTGCAGGATGTTAAGTTTCTAACTTTAAAAGAGGTGGTATTCTGCTCATTTTCAGGTTCAAAATCTTAATTAGGGGTTGTACCAGAACAGGTTTACATGCTTATATTTTCAAAACACACCATATTTTCCTCATACTGCACATTGCTGCAGCTCCTCTTTTCACCCTGTGTGTTGGACGCTACGCTCTTGAGCTACAGAGTGATGCATCTTACTTGTACAAAATCTTTGTTGGGAGTTGCACATGCGCAGCTCCCAGGTAAGGACTACTAGCCAATCAGAAGCAGAGAAGGGCGGGTCGTAAGAAACAAGGTAGTGTGATCCAAATCGAAGCCGCTTCAGACTGAGACCCTAACCTAGCAGATGGTAGAAGTTACTCTCAAGTCCACAACATCATTGTTCCACATCTCACCATCAGGACTAAACGTTGTTTCTCACCATCAGGACTAAACGTTAAACTGTTGCCGAAAACTGATTGCCGTCTGCTGGAGCTGTATTGTCCAGTCCCTTCAATCACTTTCTGACAAGTGAAATAGCCTACTGCATTTTTTGGGTTGTATTGGCCATTTAAAGGTATTATAAGAGGTAAAAAAGTACTAGGTGAGCTATAATCTGTCAAATATAACTGTTCTGAATGAAATCAACTAATTTCAGGGCAGAAATAACCTTTCAGTCAATAACAAAAGGCTTCAATCATTTTCTGGCGTGAAGTGAAATACTGCATTTTTTGGGTTGTATTGGCCATTTAAAGGTATTATAAGAGGTAAAAAAGAGTGGATTGGTTGGTAGGTCTACACAGCAAGTAAAATAGGATAACTGCAAAATTGTCTTCATTTTATATCTAAGTTGGCAGTAAGTCATGTTAATTAGGCTACAGCCTGTTTTCCAAATATAAACAAAGATATTCCACATAGGCCTACCAACATCACTTTTCGTCTTTATGACGCGTTTTCTTTGTGATGTCACAAGTAAAGGAAGTGAAGGGCTGGACTACAAACGAGCTGTTTTCAAGCGTTCAGAGCAGAGTTTTCTGTGGGAGATGGGAACTCCCTTTGGGCTGGACTTTGGGCTTTTTTACTCTGCAAACCAGTTACATGCACAAAAAAGAGATATAACTCAATGATGGAGAGGGGAAAAGCCAAAAAGCATAATACCACCTCTTTAAAAAAAGGAAAAAACAATGTTTTGATCGGGCCAGTGAGTTGCTAGTTCAACTGTCTCGACTTTTTCCTGGCCCCGGGCCACCGGGCCACCGTTATTGTCAAGCCCTCTATTTAGATTGCTAGATATCTGTATGCCACTGATCGATGGCTGATTTGCCCCAGTCACAACCCAACTGTCTGAGTTCGGGCTTTAAATTGTGTAGTGTGAACTAGTCTTGACTGCGGATTATAGCCTCTCATAGCTTAACTGTAACTTTACTTGGCTAAACACAGGACTGTGTAGCTTTTGATCAATGTACATTTTTCACTGAGATTTATTCCTGTGACCCTTTAACTTGAGGTTATCGTGTTCTCAGCCAACGCCACACTTGCAGAAAGAAACTTAACGTTCCCACTGCACATGCTTTCTTTGTTCTACACCTGTATCCAGGCTTGTGCACACCAGCCATACAGCTGAGAACAAAGACACACTGTCTATCACACACACACACTCTTCTTTTATCTTCTATCTGGTGAATATAACTTTAAGTAAAAGAGATGAAACTGATTCGATCCCGGGTAAGAGGGCAAACAAGGTTATTTCTCAAAATGACAGTTATTATATTGTTATAATTACATATTATTACCAGACAATTATCATGTTCATTCCTGGAGATGTTCTCCTTGGAGATCTCCTATAAAAATATTTCCGTTTTATGTTTAGTTAGTGTTTCTCTTCTGAGCAAAAGAAAAAGGCTTCCTACATGTGTGATTGTTCATATGATCATATCAACACTCATGTAGGAGCCATTTTAATGTTGTACGTCGCCGTTTGGCCAGTAGGTGGTACCATAGTGCCGGCATATCTAATTGGGGCTCATCTACTTAGGAGGGCAGGTGCAACCAGGCACAGGTGTTGCCCGAGGGAAAGGCCAACTAGTTTTTGACCTCCACAGATGCAGCTGCTGTGGCTGCAGCAGGCCTCTTCATACCTGAGAGTGTCCAGTCTGCAGTGTGGATCCTCCTGTTTAGCAGACAGCAGCTTCACTCCTGAGTCTCCTGGATGATTGTAGCTCAGGTCCAGCTCTCTCAGATGGGAGGGGAGAGCTGAGGCCAGAGAAGCACAACCTTCCTCTGTGATCAGACAGCCTGACAGTCTGGAAACACACAAAACGACACAAACATGAACCCTCTGTGAACAAGAGGCGGTAAAGTTTTTCTGTTTGTTAGTTTTTTGTTCAGGTACATTTTGTTCCAGATGAAAATTTTAAACAAATCTTTAAAATAATTTGTGGCATTTAATATAAACAGCAAACAACAGAAAATCACTAGAAATTTTAATGTAAAGTAATTCTCTGAGTCTAGAAACAACTGCCAAAGTTCAGGTTAAGGTCCTTGACAAGTCATATTAGCAGACAATCCTACACAAGTTAGCCGTTTATCCACTTATGTGAATCAGATTTTAAATAGCCATCAATTGAGTGAGTTAATCAATCCTGACCTGAGCGTTTCCAAAGTACAATGTGGACTCTTTAGTCCAGCACACATCAGCTTCACTCCTGAATCCTGCAGGTTGTTGTTACTCAGGTCCAGCTCTCTCAGACTGGAGGACTGGGAGCTGAGAACTGAGGACAGAGCTTCACAGCTTCTCTCTGAGAAGTTACAGCCACTCAGTCTGGAGAGGAAATACCATTTGTTTTAAAATGTTGAGTCTCAAAATTGTTGATACACTACACTGAATATAATCTCTTCTCAGCTCACACGTTAGAATCATTGCTATTTTACTTTGAACATGTTGAAGATGTGGCAACTAATCATGACTGAATCAGTAAAATGAACCTGCAATGATAATAAATTGCATAATATTGAATAGGGCTGACCCCGAATAGATTCAGTGCTTCGGTGGGCGAAACCAATCTCACAGTCAAATCTTTGCAGTGGCGTTATGAAAGTTTTCTCCCAATAAGTTAATATATAACCAATTATGATATAAATTTCAACATACGGTGTTGGTGCGCTTCAGCAGTGTGTGTGGCAGACAAGAACGAGAGACCATCAGCTGTGCTGGTGTTGTTCAAACCTCGAGGGTGGATTGATGAAACACAAAGAATATTATATTGTTTTTAAACAGCGGGCTACTTGGAATAGACCTGTGACGTGCATGCAGTTGTCGGCCGTACGGCATGCACGCAAATCTCTGCACAAGAACGGTGAAGGCGAGCGGAGAGAAACGAGTCAACAATAAGCATCTGAAGCTGTAAATGTACAGTGTACGTTACAGTGAGTAATGAACAGAGACTGTCGCTCTGCAGCTTCAAGATTAAAGGTTCGGTGTAAATGTAAATGCTCTGTATTTATATAGCACCTTACTGGTCTTTGCGACCACTCAAAGCGCTTTTACACTACATCATATTCACCATTCACACACTGAGCCCAAGTGCTCACACTGGTGGAACAGCCACCAGGGGTAATTCGGCATTCAGTATCTTGCCCAAGGACACTTCGACATCCGGAAGAGCCGGGGATTGAACTGCCGATCTTCCGATTACCGCTCTATCTCCTGAGCCACAGCCGCCCCCAGTGTGTAAGATTTGTGATGAGTGGCATCTAGTGGTGAAGTTACGAAGTAACCATCTGTCCAGCCTACCACTGCCCCGAACCCTTCAAAGAGTAGACAGCTACGGTGGCTGACACAGCACAAAAGGTGTCTCTTCTGATTCAGCAGAGAGTGGTCAGTCAAGAAATGAGGTTTATTTAGGTAGATACAGTAGTTAGGGTGTAGATCTAGAAGCTCAGATCAGACACCTAAACTTCACATTTTACTGCCCTGGTAGAAAAACTATGTAGCTGGATAGTAATATCATGTAACGTGATTTATTCTCCGGGCTTTGGCTGGAGATAAATGTGTTTCTTGTAAATGTGCCATTTATGTTCATGGGACAATCAGCTGATTAACTGGCAATAAAACCGTAACCTAACGTTACAGATGGAAGTTCAGATCAGCCAGCTAAACTTTTACTGCCCTAGAATAAATATTAAGTTGGATTGTAATTTTTAACTGTCTTGGTTTTGCAACGTGGTCATAAATGAGTGGGTTACGTTCATGAGACAATCAACTGATTATTATTGGAAATAAAAGGTACAGCGTGGAAGTTCAGATCAGCCAGCTGAACTTCACATTTTACTGCCCTGGTGGAAAACACTTTACTGCTAACAGCGTTATGATAACAAGACCTTTGTGAACTTAATACATTACGTTGTTTATAATGGACTGAGGTGCAGAAACAGTGAGCTTTACTTTTTCCTGTTATCTGTGTTAGTCCAGATGAACCAACCCTCCCAACAAACTGCATGATAACAGTACAGTAAAATAATGTATTACAGCAGTATGGGACATCATTTATTGATGTTGCTGTTGTTTGATGAACAATAATAATCATATGGTTTTACTGAAAAATTAAGTAAAATATACTTTATTAATATATCTATCTAAAGCAGGGGTCGGAAACCTCTGGCATGCAGAGACATTTTAGGTGGCACGTGAGAAAGCAAACTCAATCCTACTGTACCGACATATGTCGCTACGTTGTTTAATGTTACATTGAGTAAGTGAAAAAACAGATGATCAACCACCATGATGAATTAATTTTGACATTATTATTGTAAGCTACTTTGTTGAGTAGAGGCTTTTATTTTGAAGTGGGGAGAAACGGAAGTTGTGATGCTGTTCCGGTTCAACAATGTGCAAGAGACGAAGAAAAATAAATAAAGATGTCCCGACTAATGACCGCTCGGTTACTACAATAATAATAATAATAATAATTATAATTATTATTATTATTATTATAATTATTATTATTATTATTATTATTATTATTATTATTAGGGTCTATAGAAATGCTTCCATTTTATAGAAAAAATAACACCTTATATTTTCAGCAGGATCAATCGCAGTACTTTATGATCCGCGACCGAGAGGCCGGTCAG